ATTATGTGCAGAATAGAACTGTATTTACTGAATAAGAAGCATGTTTTACATTAGAATAGATGTATGAAGTAATCCTTTCTGAATTAATTGTGTGAACTACCTTATTATTTAGTAGTTCATAGTCCACCCTTTGATGTACTATGGTAACTTGATGTAGTTCGTTTTTTGGGGGGGGCACCCCAAAGTGTCCCTGGAGGACGCCCTTGGCTGTGAGTTGGCTGGCAGCAGCAGGCAGACATGGAGACTCCACACGGCTTTTGAAGGTGCTGATTAAATGGGGGTTTATTGGGGGTCCCATCCGCGGGAACAGCATGGTTACTGAGGGAGAAGGGAGGGAGGGGGAAGGAGGGGGAGAGGGAGAGCCTAGGGGATGGAAAGGCCAAGAGGGGAGAAAAAGGGCTAAAAGGGCAGCTGGTCTCACTGGCACGGTTTAAGAGGTAGATTAAAGTGGGCGCGGAATCTGACTTGGGCCAATGAGATTACAGATAGAGGATGGTTCAGGGCAGGACCACAGGCTTAGAATATACCATACATTTTGGAGGGCTGAGACAGAGCATACCATTTAAATAAAATGCAATACTACACCTCACCCTTTTTTCGTTAGAAAGAAAAGATAAAGAGAAATATGACAATTAACAATTTAAAAAATGAAGCAGTAATTATGCAGTTTTGTAGCATTAAAATAAATACACTTGCAGTGAGGATTATGTTTTAAACAGTCCATTTGATTTGATGTTTGCTTTTGGTGGTAGCCAGCAAAGATAAAATGAGTATTTAATTGTAGTAAACAGGTTATGTGGGTCCATATTGCACATTTTAAGTGAATTTAATGCATGGGCGAGAGCTTAAAGGCTTCAGCCTTTGGCACTAAGCTCATATGAGAATTTTGGGATTGACCTTTTCAGCGTGACTGGCCCAACGGTGTCTAACCTTTTCCAGCTGGCTTTTTGGACCACCACAGCCCCCAGTTTAGGCTGAGCAGCTCTTTTCGGCTAGAACAAGTGGATAGGGATTGGGAACTGGGGAGGTTATGGGGAGCAGGGACTCTGTGAAAGAAAAACCTTTTCGGGGTACCCTGCGCCTTCAAGCGGTTTTCTCCCAGTGATCTACCCAAAATAAGGAAAAAAGGGGTATGGATTGCAGAGGCGGATATCATCCTGCTCTTGGAATAACAGGGGAAGGAGATCATAAAGTAGAATTTTCAGTTCAGTGAAATGTTGCGGCTTAGCCATGTGGCTGCAGTGTGGGGTTTAGAAGAACGGAGTGGATTCCCTAGGGTTTGTTAAGGGGAGGGATTTGTTAGGGATGGAATTAGGCAGAAGGAGCAGCGAGGGGAGAGAAAGACCGAGGAAGGAGGTCAAAGAACTGAGGACAACAGTTTTGGGAAGGTGCGTGGCTCGGGCAAAGCTGAAGACTTCATCTCGGTGGTCTGGTGGCTCCCCCGCAGAAACTGCTGGGCTCGGGTTCCTTCTTTCGCCACTGCTGTGGTCCAGGGCAATGGCTGCTGGGGCTCGGCGATCCGCACGGCCCGCCCGCTCTGCGGCCCCCACTCCCCCAGCCACAGCCCTTGTCCGGGCAGGGGGCGGTGGGATCGGCCCTGCCGTGGTGGCGGCTCCTGGTGAGCAGCGGCTTCGAGCGGCCACGCGGCGACCACATGGCGATGGAGCTGCAAGTGGTGGGCCGGATGCGCTCTGTGCGGCGGCGGCGGGCTGGCGGTGCGGTGTCTTGCAGGGCCTCTGTGCAGTGGTGGAGGGACCACCCGGGGCCGTGGCTGCGGCTCCGCGCAGCCGCCCCACGGTGCCGAAGGTCCATTTTCGTCTCAGGGCTGTCGGTGCTCTTGCCGAACGTTGGGCGCCATTTATTGTGGCTCGTTTTGTGGGGTGGGAACCCCGGGGTGTCCCCGGAGGGCCCCCTCGGCTGTGAGTTGGCTGGCAGCAGCAGGCAGGCAAGGAGACTCCACACGGCTTCTGAGGGTGCTGATTAGATGAAGATGAAGGTTTATTGTGGTCCCATCTCCAGGAACAGCATGTTACTGAGGGAGAAGGGGAAAGCCGGGGGGGTGGGGAGAGGGAGAGCCTAGGGGATGGAAAGGCCAAGAGAGTGGGAGAAGAGCTAAGAGGGCAACTGATCTCGCTGGCACAGTTTAAGAGGGAGATTGAAAGTGGGCGCGGAATCAGACTTGGGCCAATGGGATTACAGATAGATGATGGTTCAGTGCAGTACCACATTCTTAGAATATACCATACATTTTGGAGGGCTGAGACAGAGCATACCATTTAACTAAAATGCAATACTACAGTAACTCAGTGAAATTCTCTAACTAAAGTTTAGTGCTGCTCATTACTTAGTCTTTTTAACTACTAGTAACAACTTTAACTCTTATATATGCATGGTCTACTCTTGTCTCTGTGTTGTACTCTCTCATTTAGTTTAGCCAATCTGTTTATTTTGTATATATCTTAAACTCCTTTTTATTTCACTATGCAGCTCATGATTACACCTGTATCACATCTAGAATTTAGAACTAATGAGTAGTAGTACAACAATTGCCTGAAATTTATATTTGAACTAACAAAAATGTGGAATGTTAAAGTATAAAACCACTAGGCCTCTTGGCAAAGCTTTAAATATTTTTTATCACTCATAGCAAATGAGCCTTATCATGTAGAATCATTGTGGAGATTGACCTGTCTGTATGTGTAATTTATTGTTCCTAAAGTTTGAGTGCATACAACTCAATTGAGCCTACAGGGCATTATTTGTCAAACATCATCTCTGCTTTTGTTATGGGCTCAACAGTGTTGGCAGCTGTACATTAAAATCATGCAGATAAATGTGATGACGTTTCTTATACTACAAAATACTAATACTCCAGGAAACTTTACCCTTGTTAAAAAGTTCTAGTCGCCTGGAAACTCATTTTGCAAACTCCAATGATTACTAACTTTTTTCTATGCTAGTTTTTCTGATGCTTCACAAGAACATGTTAAAAGGATTAATTTCTTAAATTCGTTTAATAGATGCACACAAGTCTATTACAAGGAATTTGTCTTTTGCCTTTCATTCATTGTCAGCTCTTATGTCAGGTGATCCTTTCAAATTAGTATCCTTGGGAAGTGATGATTCTAACATTGTCAAACTGCTTTTTATCTCCTTGAATTACGATTTTTTATTATTTCATTATAGGAGCTGGCTGTAATTCTTGAAACCAAGCTGTTTTATAATACTCATTTTGTAACTTCCATTTCCATGTGTAATAGTCTACTTGAATTGCACCATAGCTAATTCCAGAAGTTGCTTATCTTAGGAAAGTATTCTGCCTTGGAGTACTGCAAAAGCCATGCAAACAGTGCTCAAGATAGTGTTTGCTGTTCTCTGATAAATGGAGCATTCATACAGGCAGTAACTGCTGGAAACTGCAGTTAACAATGACCCTGCCTTCATGTTCAGGCAAACTATTTTTTATTTACCCAAGGCAAAGGCATATTTCTTTAAGAGAAAGGCTAGCTGTGTCAGCTAGCAAGATTGCAAGACTGTTTGGCAAATTGGTTGTGCTGACAGGGTTATAAGTTTCTGTCAGCAACCGTGCCCTGTTGGAAATGAGAGTTGCCTTTCCATATAACTAAGAAGAAGTAAATAGAGAAAGAACAGATTTTTCTGCTATTCCTCTGTCTCCTATGCCTTCTGTAGCAGATGGCAGGTGTAATGGATACCTTGACCTCTTTTAAGCCGCTGAAAGAGCTCTTGCAAACAGTAATCAGTAATCTCTTTTCGCACTGAAATTGATTCAGATAATCACTGTTAATCATGATCTAAACCAGTAACCCAGGGACTTTGTTTTAAAGCATCTGTTGGAATCTTGAAAAGCATTGCTCAGTTTTTGTTCTTTTTTTAAAGACAATTGGATTTTCATTAGCTGGTAATCATAAAAGCAGGTCAATTTGCAGCTAAAATAACCTCTGCTTAATTACGTATTTTGTTTGTTACCCAGTGAGAGACTACAGGCTTATATAATAATTGTCATGCTGGTGTATACGAATATTTAATTGATTCTTTTGTTGAATGAAGTTATCTGAAGTTTATTTGTCAGACAGGAAAAAAGTAAGCTAGGTAGCACAATTTCTAAATTTAGAACCTAGCTAGTTCCCTAGAAAAGTTCTAATTGATACATTGAAGTATATATTTTGTCATATTATCCTTCTAGATTTTAAAAGGAAATAAGTATTTTAAAGTCTTTCATGCGTCATTTTCATTTTTATGTTGACAGAAGAGTTTTTTCTCTTCTGTTTTTGGCTAATGAAACTGAATGACCTGGTCATTGAATTAAATTAGCTGAAACATTGAAACAAAGAAAATATTTTTTAACATCTGCAAAAAAAGCTGTTGTCAAGAACTGATGTAATACTTCAGCAAGCTGTACACCCAGGTGTCCAGCTAATGAATTGCTTTTGGCTATCTTTGAAACTCTAGTAACAACAATGTACTACTGGACTACTGTTTGAGTATATTTTAAAATTGATAGCTTGTGTTAACTCTTACATTAAATAGAATTAAAGCTGTAATATATAAGTGTGTTTCTAAAATGAAAATGCATTTTTCATCAAACTTTGAGTTTGTGGTGAATGGGGATGACAAGAACTTGAATTTGCAGAAGGTCTTTAGGCTGATTGTTGAAATGACTTTCTTATGTCAGAACACAGATGATAAATTACATACAAACCATGCCATCGTCGCACAGGCCTCTGGAGCCCTGCTACCTGTCATGTGTGCTGGCAGTATGTGCATTTGTTTGTCAAACTGAAGTTTCCCACCTCTATTAAGCTGCTTTACAAGAGAAAAGGGGCAATGGTGCTGGCCATTATTGCCAGTGGTGGTCTGAGAATGTCAAGACACAGCTTCTAGCTTTGAAATGTATGACTGTAGAATGAGCAAAACTAATGAAATCACATTCCAGAGGTGTTCTTTATGAGGTTGGTGTTAATTGGTACTTTCTTTTTCAGCTAATCTGCCTGTACCTACTATTGCTGCAATAGATGGAACTGCCTTAGGTGGTGGCCTAGAACTTGCGTTAGCCTGTGATATACGGGTGGCAGGTAGGTCTGAATACTGCTGTGGAATATAGGATAATTAGTATTATAGCTGGCTTGACTAATCTGTCTGTTGGCAACAGTCTTATAAAACTTACTTTATATTTGACATTGTTTATAACCCCTTATTTTAACGGGCGTTAGCAGAAACGTGTCTAAGTACTTGCTAATGTTTAATTTATAAAACTTAAGTCTGTTAGCTGGATTTGTTTTGTTAAACATTTATGTGATTCTTCTGACCCTAATTATATCAGTCTTGCTAATAGGGTCATGCCATTGTTTTCCTTTTTTAATTTTTTTTTTTTTTTTTATTCTTGTGCATTTGAAGTACTCTAGACAGAGATTTGATTTTATCTAAACAGGGTGCAGGAAAAAAACAAAAGTTGCTAGTAAGTGTATTATTACATAAGAAATTAAATTATAAAAGTGACAACCACTCTTGAAAAGAGGAACCTTGAGCTAATAAGCTGTCAGTATTGTAAAGCCTATTGATGGAAAGTAAATGGATACTTGGTTCTGAGCCAGTAAGCTAGGATTTATACAATTATTTGACTTCTATCACCTAAAGAATTCAAATAATCAGATACAGAATTCTACGCCATTATAAGATGTTAAGCAATAACATCCGTTTTCTTTTAGTACTTTCCATTTGAAAGCAAGTCTCTGTTACTCACTGTTATTGCTTACTTGCTATATGAAAATTAATAAAGTACTGAATTTGCCTTGATGGAAGTGGTTGGATCTTTCGCTAAAAGCAGATAAATTGAATCTATGTGATTTTTTTTTTTCAATAAGCAAATTATTTAAAAAGCAATTTATTTTTATTTTTGAAGAAAACATATTAGCAAACTTCTAGGTCATCATTATGTATTTTCCATAGACTTTTTTCCTTCTACATTAGAGTAAGAATTCCTTTACATTCTATTTTTTAGCATCTTCTGCTAAAATGGGCCTAGTTGAAACAAAGTTGGCCATCATTCCAGGTGCAGGTATGAATGTTTTGCTTTTGCTACCACAGATAACTTAATAACATATGTACTTAGTGTTAGATTTTGAAGTGTTTGTGGTGCTTATTCTTATATTTCTATTAAGTATTATAGCATGTGTTACAGCTTATTGCTTGTATTATTTACCAAAGTTAATTTAAAAGTGTATTTCTTATTTTCAAGGATGGTCACTTGTATATTATGTTTTTAAGCAAAGTCTTCATTAACTAAGTCAGCATTGAGTGATTCTGTAAATGACACTTAATGTCTTGATCTGGAGGCTGAATAATTTTGCAAAGGATCAAGTCAGGAAGAAGGATGTACAAAACCAATTATTTGAATTAAGATCCACTTTTATGTAACATTTAGTACCTTAGGATTCAAATTCTATTTTCAAGCTGCTTGTATATTGGTTGTAAAGAATTTAAGAACTGAAAGTGTAGCTCTGGATAAATCTGTTGCCTTGCCAAGATTTTTTGAGTCAAAATCTTCTTTTTTATTTGGAAGGCCAATTGACTTGCTTTTCACATATTCAAGGTGAATGAAAGTTATGTAATAAATAATTTTCAAGGAGTTGTTATGAAACCTTATGTTATAATTTTATGTATAAATTATTGCTACTTGAATTAAGATATTTGCTGCTCTGGGAAAGGGGCAGTAGCTGGGAAAAAAGTGCATCCCTGTCATTTTTGGCCTTCATTTATGAGAGTTATTGGGAACTTTATACTCTTTCTTTGCTCCCTTTTTCTTTCTAATGGGTGGAACCTATTTTGCAAGCACTATATCCAATTGTAGTGGATACCATTGCAGGTCACATAAAAAACCCAGTAAAATCAACCATAATGGCAGTAGTGGTATGAACTTTGTGTATAAAATTGTCCCAATCCTATGACTAATCTGGACAATTATTGTACAATTTCGATTGCTATATTATTTTGGTTATTGTTGAGATGTGATTTCAATGAACACTTTCTGTGATCAGTGATACATTTTACATAAGGAAAACAGTTATGATTGATGTCTGGTTTTTTTTTTGTGGATGATAAAGTTAATAATGCAGCTGATTTTAAAGAGGTATTTACTGGTAGTGGTGTTGTCATGAAATAATATGCCTTGGAAATAAGTCCCAGTAAAGAAAAAGACAGAAGTTTATGTTGTTCATTTTTGTTGTCAGTTTTTGCTCTTTGTCCTCCCACTCCCTCCTTTCCTAAGTAATTCTGTAGGACAGTATTGGAAACATACTCTCTAGATCAAGAAATTCAGCTCAAATTCTCCATATATTCTCTGTATTCAACTTTTTGAGGTTGTCTCATTTCCTTGTCTTCAGTTAATTACAGATGTTTCAAACTTCTGTGCTCTTACCTTAAAATGCTAGTTAACTGATTCATTTTAAGTTTCATTCAGAATATTTTACTGCTATTCAAAGACTGAGGTTTTAAAAATCTTTTTTTTTTTCCTCATCCTAAAATAATGATTCAGGTGTATGTCCTTGGAAATATGACAGATTTGATCTTGTTACATTGACTTTTCTACTTACAACATTTTGGGGTATGTTCAGTGATGAATTTTTTTGCCTATTCCTATCAGCCTTTCTGACAACTATTTTTGTTGAACATATTTGAGCTAACCACAACTTTTTCCTGATCAGGCTGTGCTTACACCAGTCCTGTTGAGCAATGACAGTATTTTTGCTTCTTGTCATCCAAATAGTAACTGATTCTGCCTTTTGTGAAAGGCACAAGAAAGAAAGTGAAGAGTGAGTGAAGGAATTTTGGATATATCATTTAGTTAGAGAAGCCAGATATACACACTTGAACCATAGTCTTCATGGGTTAATGGAATATTTTCTGAGAGTGTTTATTCCAAGAGCCAAAGCAGAACTGCAGAGTGGAGCTGAAAAGTGAGCTATAGCTCTTAAGAGGCCTACCTAGATTTCTGCTGCCATCTAGTACACCTGAAGTCTGCTGGCAAACTGAGTTTCTTCTTTGAATTAGGTCCCTGTATTCTGGCAAGCTAGTTTTCATTCTGCTCTGTCAGCTGCCAGGTGTATCTGATGGATGTAACTTTAAGTTGGGTGATAATTAATGTGGGTGTTTGAAGCTATATGGAAAACATATTTATACTCTGAGAGTTTGCTTTTTTGATATCCCAGAAATTTATAATCAAAGAACTGTATTAGAAGATTGTTACTAGAATTCAGTAGAATTAAAACATTGATCCAGGACATATCAGCTGTTATGTTTTGGACCTTGTTGTATATTATGGTTTATTCCATTCTTAATAAAATGTGGTTGTCAAGACACAGTGAGGTGCTGTCTATTGACCAACACAGATTTCCCAGGTGCAAGAAATGTTTCTTTTGATTATGCACAGATGTACTGCAACTTTCTAAAGGCTGAGTTTGAGCAGCAGTTAGTTCAGTTAACCAAAATGAATTGTTCCTTCTAAGTCTGCTGAGGGTCTTGACCAAGTAGGCATTTATAGAGTATGCTGTATTGTAGCAGGTTGAATCTCCTCAGAAAATTCATCTATGACAGACAACATAGCAAGACCAAGTGGGATGGCCACATTGCCTTTTTTTATACAATAGCTTTGTTTATAGACCTGCTGTTCACATTGTGAGGGAGCAGGATTATCCTTTTGTATTTGGAAATCTAAACCCAGTTTTCTGCACTATGGGAAAAGCTTAAACTGCCAGAACATGAACTAGGAAAAGTAGAAAAACTTTCTGTTCTTCTTCTTGAGTAGATCCCACTTTCTAGTAAGGAAGGCAACATTCAAAGAACTAGGTGAAATATGTAACAGAGAGAAAAGCTTGGTAACTTGGCGATGGGAAAGTTACCTGAGAAGGAATATTGAAGGTTTTTTGTTTTCTAAGGAGAGTCTGCCAATCACCATTGCAAAAGTGGTCTTATGCCAACACAAAAAACATGTGTCATAGAATCATTTAGGTTGGAAAAGACCTTTAAGCTCATGAAGTCCAGCTGTCAAATAAGCACTGCCAAATTCACCACTACACCATGTTGCTAAGTGCTGCATCTGCACCACTTAAGTGACTCAACCACTTCCCTGGACAGCCTGTCCAGTGCTTGACAACCCTTCAGTGAAGAAATTTTTCCTGATATCCAGTGTAAACCTCCCTTGGTACAACTTGAAGCATTTGTTACTTGGTGGAAGAGATTGACCCCAACCTCCTTTCAGGTCGTTGTAGAGAGCGATAAGGTCTCCCTTGAGCCTCATTTTCTCCAGGCTTAACAATCCTCAGCACTTCCTCACAAGACTCATGCTCCCTTTACTGGCTCTATTGCCCTTCTCTTGGCATGCTCCAGCACCTTAATATTTTTTCTGTAGGGATCCGGAAGTGGACACATGATTCAAGGTGTGGCCTCACCGGTGCCAAGTTCAGGGTGACAATCACTGCCTTGGTACTACTGGCCACACTATTGCTGCCACAGGCCAGGATGCCATTGGCATTCTTGGCCACCTGGGCACAAATGGCTCATGTTCAGCTGCTGTCAACCAGCAGCCCAGGTCCTTTTCTGTCAGGCAGCTTTCCAACCACTCTGCCTCAAGCCTGAAGCATTGCAAGGGGTTTCCCAAGGTGTCTTCTTTTTTTATGGGGTCCCAGCAAAACTGTCTGTTCAGTCAGGCTGGTCTTCCTTGTCACTGACTCTACTTTTGCCACATAGGGATGGTCTGCTCCTCTGCCTTTAGGATTTTCTTCTTGAAGAATGTCCAGCCTTTCTGAAAGCCTTAGCCCTTCTGGGCTGCCTCCCAAGGGACTCTATCAACTAGCCTCCTAAACAAGCAAAAATCTCTCTTCTGTAAGTCTGAGGTGGCAGTTCTGCTGACTACATTCCTTACAGCTCTGAGAACTGAAAACTGTCATTTCATAGTTGCCTGTGCCCTAGATGGCCTCCAAGCAGCAAATCATCCTTCTCTATTCATAAATAGTAGTAAGGCACCTGGCCTCTTGGCTCACTCACCAACTCTGTCAGGAAATTATCTTCCATGTAGTCCAGGAATCTCTTAGACTGTTTCTTTGTGCTGTATTGTATTTTAGAGTGTGTATGGATTTGTTCATCCCCTCTCTTCCTCAAATTGAACTCAGTGTCTGTTAGCCTGTTGTGCTATAATTTGTGGTTTACAGGGTAGAGGTTGCAAAAACAAAGAGTCCCCAGAATTTTATTAAAAATAGGTGGCCAGATGAAAGGAGAATTGTATTGATTTCAGATGAAAAAGTTTCAGCATGAACTAACCTGTTCTTTGGCATGCAAGAAAAGATACAGGAAGAAGTTGTGTGTGTCTTAGCTGTGAAGAGTATTTCAGTCAGAATACTCATCTCAGTGGACAGCAAGTAGTTTGTATCAGACAGGATTTCATGAGAAAGCAGACTCCATTAGCTTTGCAGTTTAAGGAGATGCTTGTTATCAGTCAGGAACTATTCATTGCTATTTCTCAAAGCTATTCATTGCTAAATGGAGTTACTATTTTTTGATCTCTTATTTAAAAGCTTTTTAAACAACTTATTTTCTGTGTAATCCTGTGTCTGTACAGAACTCAAAGTAGTGTGGGCAGAGTCTTTTTACACAAGAAAATTGTGTTAATTCTCTTTATTTTGTTTCCCAAACTGACATTTAAAAAAGTACAAATATTTGTCATTAACTGAATGTAGTTTTTGATGTCTCTCAGCTTGCAAAGGAAGTGTCTTTCAGTGGCAACTTTCTTCTCAGCCAAAAGTTGTCTTTTAGAGCATTTTTTTTTGTTGAAGTCCTCTGTTTTTCTGCTTTGTAACTTTTTAAAACTGTCAATTCGTGATGTAATTCAGTTGTTTAGATTTTCACAGTGGATGTCATACTAAGCCTGTAATTGATAGATGATGCCTTTGAGGCAGGTCTGCTTTTGTTTATTAGTATTGTATTTATATACCACTCAGTATTAGATCTGTTATTGTGAAGATAAAAGTGCTTGTAAAGAACATACATAAACTTCCTACTTTATTA